TGTCTGATATAAGTATTTGCTACTCCAGCTTTCTTTTAATTTCCATTTGCATGGAATACCTTTCTCTATCCCTTCCCTTTCAGTCGGTATGTAACTCTATACCTGAAGTTGGTCTTTTGTACACAGCATATGTATGCGTCTTATTGTAGCTATGCAGCCACCTATGTCTTTGGGTGGAACATTTAGTTTATTTACATTTAAGATAGTTATCAATATGTATATTCTTACTGCAATTTTGCTGTTTTACATCTTTTTTCCCCTTCTTCTTCTGTTCTCTTGTGATTTGATGACTATCATTAGTATCATGTTTGGATTTTTCTTTTTTGTCTCTACATATTCTATAGATTTTTTTAGTTTGTGGTTATAATGAGATTTCTTTATAGCAATATATCAAGTTGCTGATCTCTTAATTTCAAATGCATTTTTAAGGCCCTATGTTTGTACTCTCCTCACTTCATGATTACTGTCTTTAATTTGTATCCCTTAACTGCTTATTGTGGATACAGATGATTTTACTGCTTTTGCCTTTTAACCACCCTATTAGCTTTGTGTGTATGTGACTTCCTACCTTTATAGTATGTTTGCCTTTACTGGTAAGCTTTTTCATTTCATAACTTTCTTGTCCCTGTGGTGGTCTTTTTTTCCCACCTAGGGACGTTCCTTTAATATTTGTTTTAAACCTGGTTTAGTGGTGCTGAATCCCTTAGTTTTGGCTTGCCTGTAAAGCTTCTGATTTCACCATCAGATCTGAATGAGAGCCTTAATGGGTGAAGTATTCCTTTTGTTGTTTAGTCACCAAGTCGTGTTCAACTCTTTTGTGACCTCATCAACTGAAGCCCACCAGGCTCCTCTGTCCATAGGATTTCCCAGGCAAGAATACTGGAGTGGGTTGCAATTTCCTTCTCCAGGGAATCTTTCTGACCCAGGGATCGAACCCACGTCTCCTGAGTTGGCAGGTGGATTTTTTTTTTAACCACTGAGCCACCAGGGATTCCCAAAGTATTCCTGGTTGCAGGTTTTTCCCTTCCCTTAAATATATCGTGCCACTCCCTTCTGGCCTGCAGAATTTCTGTTGAAAAATCAGCTCGCATAGTCTTATGGGAGGTCCCTTGTATGCTACTTGCTGTTATTTCCCTTGCTGCTTTTAATATTTTCACTTTAATTTTCTCAGGTCCTTTCTCTCTCTTTTCCTTCTGAGGCCCCTATATAATGTGAATATTAATGTGCTTCATGTGGTCCCAGGTCTCTTTTTGTCTTTGTTCTATTCATTGGCAGTCATTTCCACTACTTTCTCTTCCAGCTCATTGATTTATTCTTGGGTATCATTTAATCTAATATTAATTCATTCTAGTGTATTTTTATTTCAGTTATTGTATTCATCATCTCTGGCTGTTCTTTATATTTTCTATTTGTTAAAAAAAACTTCTAACTTCTCACTCTATGCATCTATTCCCCTCCCAAGTTCTTCGACCATCTTTACGATCACAACTCTTTTTCAGGTAGACTGCCAATCTTCACTTAAATTCTTCTTCTGAGGTTATATCTTATTTGTCTAAAACATGTTCCTGTGCTGCCTCATTCTGTCTAATCTGCTATTTGCATTTTTATCTGTGTGAGAGGTCAGTGATGTTTCTCCACCCTGGAGAAGTGGCGTTCTCTAGGAGATATCCTATGTGCCCTAGCAGTGTCACCACCTAAGCTATATGCTCTCAGCATTCCCCTTAAGAAGGATGCATGGGTCCTTCTGTTATGGTGGGCTGGTTATGTGGGAAGTCTAGTAGACTTGGTTGGCCCCTAATCCAGTTGGTTGCCAGGCCCTGTCTTGTTCAGATGCTGCTGGCTACTATTTAGTGGTACCCAGTCACAAGGCTGCTGGCTGCAGAATCCTAGGGGGCCCTGGAGCTAGTGCTGGCTCACTACTGAGCAGGGTTATGGTTTTGAAGACTCTGGAGCTATTGCCCACCCACTGGCAGGTGAGGTCAGATCCTGGGGTTAATGCCAGACTCCTGGCAGGCAGAACTAATTTCTGGAGTCTGGCTGCAGCATCCAGGGATCCCAGAGCTCATTTCTGGTCACTAAGGTGAGGGGAGGCCAGCTCCTAAAACAGCTGTGTATGGTGTCTGGGGCGTCCAGAAGACTGTGTTGGCCTGCTGTGGTCAAGGCGAGGGCACAAATGGTCCCAGAGTAGGCTGGATGCTTCTGCTGTCTCTCCCCCATTGGGCGAGGCTCATTTAGAGGCTAGCACAGGCTTTCTGGTGGGAAGAGTTGGTGCCTGCCCACTGGTGGTTAGAGCTGGTTCTTGGCTCTATCCATGTTCTGGATAGGGACATGTCCAGGGGCATGTCTAGAGGTGGATATAGGGTCAAGAAGTCTTTAGAGAGCCTGTCTGTTGATGGGTGGGGTTGTGTTCCTGCCCAGTTTGTTGTCTGCCCTGAGGAATCCCAGCACTGACCCCTGCAGGCTGCTGAATGGGGCCAGATCTTGGTGCCAATGAGCCAAGATGGTAGCAGCCAGCATCAGTGTTCGTGTATTTGAATGCTCCCCAATATGTCTGCCACCAGTGTCCAGGTCTCCAGGGTGAGCCGCAGCTGCTCCCTGCCTCTCCAGGAGCTTCTCCAGGACCAGCAGGTAGGTCTTGTACAGGCACCTATCAAACTATTTCTTTTGCTCTGCGTCCTGGTATGCATGTGGTTTTGTGTGCCTCCTTTAAGAGTGAAGTGTCTATTTCCCCCACTTCTGTGGGCCTTTTCTGCAATTAAGTGCTGCTGGTCTTCAAAGCCAAATGCTCCAGGAGCTTGTCTTCCTGGTGCCAGAACCCTGGGCTTGGAAGCCTGATGTAGGACTCAGAACTCTTACTCTTGTGGCAGTACTTCTGCAATATAATTATCCTCCATGGGTTGCCGACCTGGCGGGTATGGGATTTTATTATATCGTGAGTCCATTCTTCCTACTTTTCTCACTGTGGTTCCTTCTTTTTGTCTTTAGTTGCATAAGATCTTTTCTGGTAGATTCCACTCTTTCTCATCAATGACTGAAAATTACAGAAAACTGTTCTATAGAAAACTGTGATTTTGCTATGCTTATGAGGAGATGGGTTTAGGGTCTTTCTACTCTGCCATCTTGGCCTTTCCTTGGTATGAGCAAGTGGCCATATGGGCAAATGAAAGCATCCTGACAGACAGATGCTGCACTCCTTCCAGTGTTGACACATAGGATGAATTTTGTGGCTGATGGGAAGCAGTTTATGATAAAAAGATGCTTAAGCAAGGCTAAAGGGGTGCAGAGCTTCCTTGCACTCTTGGAGTTGCCATGTGTTCACCCTGTTTTCATTTACTTTGCTTATATACATAGAATTGGGCTGCTAGATAATATGATAGCTATTGTTTTGTTTTGTTTTTTGTTTTGAGGAATCCCTATACTGTTTTCCAATTTACATTCTCACCAATTGCATACAAGTGTTTCCTCTTCTCCAAATACTCTCAAGCATTTGTTATTTTTTGTTGACAGCTATTTTGACTGGTGTGAGGCAATAGTTCGTTGTGGTTATGATTTGCATTTCTCTAATAATTAGCAATGTTGAGCATCTTTTCATGTACCTATTAGCCATCCTTTTGTCTTCTTTGGAAAAATTCCTATTCAGGTCTTCTGCCTGTTTTTTGATATTGAGGTGTATTTATATATTTTGTATATTAAGTCCTTGTTGGTCATACCATTTGCAAATATTTTCTCCCATTTTGTACGTTGTCTTTTTATTTTCTTAGTGGTTTCCTTTGTTTTGCAAAAGCTTTTAAGTTTAATTAGGTCCCGCTTGTTTATGTTTGCTTTTACTTCTTTTTTAGTGTCTTCTACATGTAGTATCATGTAATCCAAAAGTAGGGACAGTGTTACTTCTTCCTTTCCAATTTGGATGCTTTTTATTTCTCTTCCTTGCCTAACTGCTCTGGCTAGGACTTCCAATATTGTGTTGAATAAAACTGGTGAGACCGGGCATCCTTATCTTGTTCCTGATCTCAGAGTAAATGCTTTCAGCTTTCTGCCCTTGACAATGATGTCGGCTGTTGCCTTGACAAATACAGCCTTTATTTTGTTGAGGGATGTTCCCTCATGCCCCCTTTGTTGATTTTTTATCAAACTATATTAAAATTTGTCCAATGCTTTTTCTGCATCTAGTAAGATGCTACTATGATTTTTATCCTTCATTTTATTAATGTAGTGTATCACACTACACTATCAATCAGCATCACCCTGATTGATCTGCAGATATTGAACCATCCTAGCATGCCTAGAATAAATCCCACTTGATCATGTGCTGATGAATTCGATTTGATAAATTCTGACTAAGAGATTTTTCATCTATCTTCATCAGAGATATTGGCCTGTAATTTTCTTTTCTTATAATGTCCTTGTCTGGTTTTGGTATCAGGATAATGCTAGTCTCATAAAACAATATTGGAAGTGTTTGATCCTCTTTTATTTTTTGGAAGAGTTTGAGAAGTACAGGTATTCTTAAATGCTGGGGATAACTCATCAGTGAAATAATTTGAGAAAATTATTTAACTTCTGAGCCTTTTATATAGAATGGAAATATACTTACCTACATCATGGAATTCTTATATGAATTAATAACAAGAAAATATATAATATATTATCAAGAATCAAGTAATTATACAATAAATGTTAGGTCTCTGTTAGGTCACTTCCAAAATAAAAGCATATTCTCTCAAATACACACCATCTGAATACTCATTCCCACTCAGCTATTGTCAAGATGAAAAGCACACAGTAAACACTAATTTCAGCATAACCTGTGGAAATAATTCTATGAGAAACTGCTCATTTACTCTGCTGGCTCATTTCAAGTATGGTTACTTAAAACTGAAGATTTTAATGCAGCAAATTACCCCCATTAGGTATGACAGTAAAGAATAAAAGCACTGTACTAGATAGACAGTCTATCTCATCTACTTTGTAATTCCTCTTTAAACTAATTTTAGAAATACCTTTGATGCAGCAACTGCTGAAGAACTTGAGGGTGAAGTGTCTCTTGATGTTTTCAAAGGCTGAACAGGTCTTTCTTTACCTATATAAGAAAATATAAAATGCAATTTTCTAGCTCATTTGTTTTCAACTAGACTGATTCTGTAAGAGAATAAATAAAGGACAGAGGTCATATATTTATTTTAGTACTGAAATCTTTATTACTTATTAAATTAAATTTGTTAATATCTAAATCTCTCCTGGAGGCTGGGCACCATTGAAAATTTTAAATAACCTAGAACAAAGGACTATACACATTATGGCAGTCTAGGTCATATCAGTGCCAGTTAGCAAACATGGAACAACAAAGAAGACTTGAGGAAAGGAAAACCATTTTAAAACCATAAATGCTCCCTCTTCCAAATTCTGAAAAGCTAACTTTTAATGCATCACACACAATAAAAATCCAATGGAGGTTATTATATCAACACTACAAAAGAGAATTAGTTAACTATTAGCTAATTATGCAGAAGCTCAAGATAAAGACAGGTAGGAATTTAGCAGGTATTCATGAAATGTTAAAAAAATAAAAATAAAAACTAGAGCACTGTAATACAGCACTAATCCACTACCTGATATAAGTGCTCAAATATATGTGAAATGATTAAAAATAAATCCATATGAAATAAAGTCACTAGCCTTTATCTTTAGACACTCCCAAAGTGCTCTCTATATATATTATTGTTTTTAATGGAAATTTAAGCCAGAAAATAAATTTAAACATTACTTTAGTCAGTTCAACGACAACAGCAAAAAAACAACAAAAAAGGTTTAGCTAAACAGGATTTTTAAAGCGACAGTGAGCTGTCACTAACAGAAAACACTCACTAAACTGACTATGTGTCAAACACAATGCATACCCTCTGCTTTCAAGGGCCAGGGAGCTGTAACTACGGAGAGAAAAAGCAACGCCAAGTTCGGAGTGGCACAGAAACTGGTCAAGGTTGGAGAGTAGTTTAGGGCCAGGAAAGCAGTCAAGAGCAAAAGCAGAGACAAATGACCTTCAAACTGAAGCAAAGCCAGCTTCAGTCAAAAAGCCTCCTAAGTTCTTCCTCCTGTGGTCAGAATAGCTAAAGACGGACCTGGAGGCTCAAGGGCTTCCAACCACCTAGAGAAGTAGGAAATAACATCTCTTTCCAACGTCCTTAAGACTTGAAAAAGCTTTCTCAAGACACCCCTACACCTCTCCCCACCCACAACACGTGGCAGTGTGTGAAGATATTTTTGATCGTCTCAAATGGGTGAGTGTCATTGGCACATGACAAAGAGAGGTTAGGGATGCTGCTAAACATCCTACAAATGCACAGAACAGACCTCCACAATAAAGAACGATCCAGCCTCAAATGGTAACAGAGCTGAGGTTGAAGACTCCCCTACTACAGGTACAGTACTCCAACTCTGAAGCTCCAATAGTCTTTATAAAGACAGAATTCTAGAATCTTTTAACTTGTGGTACCATTAAGAGACTTTCATACTAAGCAAGTTTAAAAGTTCTTACAGACCTTAAAAGTCAAAAGTAAAAGGATACCAATCATCACTGTATCCCCAAATGACTAAGAACATGGTTTATTTAGTCATTCCCTACTGAATTCCCACTGTACATGGCAAATCCCACATCATAATGTGACAGTGTCAGTCTATCCCATCACATCTAAAGCTCCTAGAGAAGCTTTTTTTTTTTTTTCCTGAATACCCAAGGCCTGCCTTTAAGAAAAGAGTAGTTGCTCAAAAAATGGTGAAGAGATGAATTATTTTTCTACCCTTAGGACACAATGACCTCTTTAGTATATTCAGATAAATATTTCCTTCAAAGATGAAGAACTGGACCAATCAGTACAGCACACTATGTTAATTAAAAGCATAATTACAGGCTCAATTCTGGCACATAGCAGCTAAACATAGCCATAAAAAAAAAAAATAACCTTTCACAAGAAGCTGTTAATCTCTTACTTAGCATTTCCCTTACAAATAAAACATCAGCACTTCAGGTATGCCAAGTATGATGTCAAAGTGTTGTCTTAGGATCTCTCATCATTTTAGCTGCATAAGGCTAATTTAGGCAGATTTCAACCAATCTCACTGTGCGGAAGCAAAGGATCACTGAAGGACAGGACAGTGGTTGATCAAACATCAACATATATTCACATATACCAGGTACATGAAGGGGAAGGACAGGCAAGAAGCAAAGGATAAAAGAAAAAGGATGATACAGATGGCAGCAGAAAAAGCACAAAACAATAAATAGAAATGTCCTGACCCTACTGCTGTTGGATTCTATCTGCCAGTGTCTCTTCTACAGATCTCAGCCTCCTCTGAGGTGGCTGTTTCTAACCAGGAGTAGGCGAGCTTAGACAACAAATCACTTATCTACCCAAATCCTACTACGTGAGTCTGCTGTTGTTCAACTCTAGTTCCCACAGTAGACTAACGGGAGAATTCATACACTTAACCCATTTCTATAACCACTATCAATTATAGCCCCCCACCCTTCATAATCCCAAATCAAAATCTAGCTCAAAACTCACCTCTTTCTGGCTTTCCTTCATTCTGCCGTTTGTAGCAGGCACCAGCACGCACGGGCTCTAGGGAAAGGTGGGCAGGGAGGAATTAACACGGGCACCTCTGTGCCCAGGAGGAACAAAAGGACCCAGAAGTAGGAATAACGAGAACAGGAACTTCTGAGCATTTGCTGGTAACCCTAACATCTTTCCTACCCTGTCTTCAAGTTGGGCTGCCTGAGCAAATACCACTGAAGAGAAATAAATAACAAAATAGGAGAAAAACTCTGTTAAGAATCGATCCAACAATGGTGGATGAAAACGAGGCTAACCAAGGATAGCATGGCCAGAAAGTAACGAAAAAAGGACCGTATAATAAGACACCAAAAGTTAAAGACAGGTATCACACATCTTACTCATCAGTATAAGCACCTAAACTAGTCTCCTCCATAAAGTATATATATAAAGGACTAAAAAATGACACGAAAAAATCAAGAGCAAAAGATCAATCACCCCTAGAAATCAAAAAAGACACCTGAGAAAGTTTTCATGGTACATCATACCAGTTCCCTGGTCATACAATGACTATCTGCAAGGAGTTATTCTGACTTGTTCTCAACAGGTAGCCTATTACAAGTTCTTAATATTTTGCCATTTGCTTTCATGCCTTTGTACTTCTCTGTCATCCGGTATCTTCTTACCTTTCTCTCTCTTCTTTGTTGGTTATTACTCCTTAAATATGAATGTTCCTCCTATCCTCAATCTTTTCTGTTCTGTTATTCTTATTTGGCTCCAATCAATACTAAGAAAACAAGACAAATGTCTCTCACTCTTTTCACTCCTACTTCTGTATTTCTGACGGACAGAATGCTACTCTGTAGGTGCTTGGCCATTACCTCAAATTCATCTTACATGTGATCTTAGTAAGCAGAAACTAACCCCTACCTGATCATGTGGCAACAGGACTCAATACATTCCTGTCTTTGCTGTGACTTGCAAAAAAAAAAAAAATAGTAAGTTTCAAAGTAGGATGAAGGAAAGAAACTAGGAAAGAAAATTCTCAAGTTGGCAATATGGAAATCAAAATCCCAGTTAATATATTGGTGAGTGAAAGAATAAATGGTGAGGAAGAAAATGAACACGAATTTCAAATACTGGTTCCACAGACTATAAAGTTCTTCTCATGCAGGTGAAATAAAAGCCCAAGAAGCAGCTCAGTGTTCCAACAAACACCTAAAAGTCTGTAAGAATTTAACAATATTCACTGTCTCTTTGAATATAGTAGCTGTAAATGTGATAATCTTTCAGAAACATACTTTCTTGCTCATGTGTTCTGATGAAAGCAATGATAAACTTAACCAGACTCATCCAATCAAGCATTATGAATTACTGATAACTCATATAGGAACAAAATATTTTGCTAGGGAAAAAAATTTTAAAGTATCGCTGGAGAGATAATAAAGTTAGGGCTATATCTTGCAAACTATTAAATGCTTGGTACAGTGCCTGATGTAAGAGTAAAATTAGATATTTCTGAAAGTCTTATCAATAAAAAATAAACAAGAGCACAGGTAGTACATTAATTTCTCCTTTGATACCTGAAGCTTTAAGAGAGAAATTAAGATATGAACAAATGAAGATGTGATGATTACAAAGATGCTAAGGAAATCATTTCTCTGAATCATGGATGAAGATGTGCAAATTTGGGGTTCTCAGTTAAGAAGAGCATGATTTCCCGGAGATCTACTTGTTTATTCAAGAAGTTATGAAACAAGGAATTCCTTGGGAGTTCAGTGGTTAGGACTCTGTGCTTTCACTGCAAGGGGCAAAGGTGTGATCCTTGGTTAGGATCCTGCATGCCACGTGGCATGGCCAAAAAAAGGCCATGAAACAGAAAAACGGAGGAAACACGAGAAAAATGATCCTTGTGGTAAAGACACCAAAAAACTACAGAAAAGACAACCAAACAACCACAGAGGCAGAAAAAGCTCTCTACCACTACTGCTTCCCTAAAATAACCAACTTCTGGAGTAGGAGATCCAACCAGTTAAAATTAAGACATATTAACTATGAACACATGGAAGTGAATTTCCAAAAAGCATGGAAGTGTGCTACTGGTAGAACATACAAGCCCTAAAACAGGGATGCTATATATGTCTACACACATGAAAATGCCATTATTTGACTATTGCTTCAGAACCTCCATCATTCAGGTAGGTGCCAGGAAAGCTATAGTTGACCTCCTAGGATTCACCCAGAAAACTCACAGCCAAAGCTCTCTGTGATTAAACCACAGGTTCTCAGACAAAAAGAATATACTGTAGAATCTAATTCAATACCACATTTACAGCTTGGATCAATTAAAGAGTCCAAGATTAAATTCCACGTGAAACAGCTCATCCCAACAATACTTTTCTACTTTCATCCTCCCAGCAACTTCTGCCCACTCTTCAGGTATCACCTAAAATGTCTATTCCATGAAATGACCTGTCTCCTTCTCTAGCTATAAACTCAGGGCAAGGACTGGATCTGTCTTGCTTGGCAATCTTTTATGTAAAGTACATTTTTGTTGAATGAGTTTACGAATTTTGTTGTTCAGCTGCCAGGCGGGGTCCAGCTCTGTGACCCTGTGGACTGACGGCAGCACGCCAGGCTCTCTGTCCTCCACTCTCAGACTTTACTCAGACTCATGTCCACTGAGCCAGTGACGCCATCCAACCAGCTTGTCCTCTGTGCCCCCTTCTCCTTTTGCCTTCAATTTTTTCCAGCATCAGGATATCTTCCAATGAGTCAGCTCTTCACATCAGGTGGCCAAAATATTTATGAGTACTGAACACAAATAAAGTAACTTCCAAGCTAAGAAACACTATTATATTCAGCGGATAAGAACATAGGTTCCTACTGTGTAATAAACATGATCTGATGGTAAAGCCTACTTCCATGTTCCCATTATTACTCTACACCTGCACAGAAAAGCCTTCTTTCTAAAGGCAGAATTAAATCTCTAAATTTTACTGGAATTTCAACTATTATCCAAAAATTCACATGGACTTCCAAATTCATTCACAGCAAAAGGTCTTAAGATGTGTCTTCTTTCTTGTTAAACTGAAGTTTAATAATAGAGTCTAATTTCCAAACATATTCTTCTTGAAATAGTATTTTTAATTCCTGTACATTTTCAGTTATCATGGAAGATGTGCTTTCAAAATTAAACACTGATTAATGTTAAGTCTTTCTTTAAAATATCTTCCATTCTTAATAATGGCTGTTGATTTCAAGAAAATAAGGGAGACTGGGCCCAAAGTCGGAGCTATATAAAATCAGATACAGACCAATAAAAGCAATAAACCTGTAAATCTTCCACAGTAATGACATCTAAAAAATTCAACCAAAATGTCACATGGTGGTAGTGGTTTAGTCGCTAACTCATGTCCGACTCTTGCGACCCCATAGTCTGTAGCCCACCAGGCTCCTCTGTCCAGGGGATTCTCCAGGCAAGAATACTAGAGTGGGTTGCCATTTCCTTCTCCAAGGGATCTTCCTGACCTAGGAATCGAACCCGGGTCTCCTGCATTGCAGGCAAATGATTTACCAACTGACCTATGAGGGAAGCCTGATTTATATATGAGCATCACTGGCAAATTTGACATTAACCTGCAGCAAATGTTTAGAATGAATTAACAAAGAGTTTGTAAGTACACAGAGGATCATCCCTAGGAATCACAACAGATTTACACAACAAAGCAAAGCAATCTTTATGTTATTGTTTCCAAAGAGGAAATGCTTTGTGTTTCTCAAGTGGGAAAGAAAAAAATATGGGGAATCACAACTGGTTGAGTAATAGCAAATCATTTAGATACACGTTCCACAGAGGGATGTGCCTAGAGGTTTCTATATTAGGACTTATGCTACTCAAATTAATTATTAATGATTAATACAAAACATAAAGTATACTTCATTTATGGATAAAACAAAACTGCTTTTATCTGCTACTGTACATAGTCATTAAAGAGATTTTAAGACCTTTATAGAAGAGAATTGTAAGCCAAAGTTAATTAAATGAAATACAGCATTCCTAGACTATTTTTTAATGCATTAACAAAATGCATTATACAAAAAGTATAAGCTGCAGGGTTTTTTTTTCTCTCTTCATATTATTATATGTGAAAATGTCCTAGATTGCAATTGCCTGCAGTTTCAATAAGGGCCGGTAACACAACATGGTTGACAAAAGTTCACTTCTGGCATCACAACTTAAAAGGAATAGAAAGAAAATTAGGAAAGTAAAAGGTATGAAAACCATGTCTGATAAAAGGAAGCACTGAAGGAAGTAAATATATTTAAATCTGGAAAAAAAAAAAATCAAAGGGATTATGATGGTACTTTTCAAATTTGCAAAAGATTCCAAAATAAAAAGAAATATCTTTATGACTCTAAGAAAAATAACAAGTATTAAGTAGCTGTTACAAGAAAAGGTTTCAATGTTTGTTTGTTTTTTAAAAAATGAGTTACATAAAAAGGAAAGACTGGCCTGTAATGTAGAAAGCTTCAAGGGAAGTACTTTAACAAAAAGTCTCCCATACCGATATGGGAGACTCTGGTGTTATTATTAACAATATATCCTAAACAGAAGGTAAGTAGCAAAAGTATAAGATAGGTAAACAGTGGGATTCATCAGAGAGAGGGGAAAGAAAAAGGAAATAAATATCTAAGAAACAGCTGACAAATAGGGAAAGTCTGGTTATATCACTCAGAATAAAAACAAACTTCAAGTAAAAATATAAATGGTATATATAACAAAACAATTTTAACTATAATAGTATAATAAACAAGGGAAAAGGAAATAAGGCTAACCAGGACAACCTATACTGTTGGCATGTAAATATGAACAATAATAAGGAAAAAAATATTATCATATATCATAGTCACAGCTATGATCAGGTTAGTCCACTTAAGTTATCAGCAGAAAATTCTTAAATGTGAACACAAGATGCAGACAGTTTGATTTACGAAGATAATCAGCCTATGGTAGTACAAAGTTCTATAGGATTTAACTCAAACACTAAGAAAAAATTTAATTAAATAACATGTGTGGACATGTGTGCACAAAACAGGAAATAAGCAACTGAGAGGAAAAAGTAACTATCATTGTGACTTATAATTAAGCACATAAGAGATATAGTAAATGCACAGAATTATGAAAAATTAGTCCTAAAATGATTGCCATGGACAAACTATTAATGATCATTAAAATGAGTAAAATTTGTCTGAAAAGTATGAAAAGAAGCAAAACACTATATGTTAAAAAAATTAACAAAATGAGAGCATACGGAATAAGAAAATTATTTTTACCTGTTACTTACATAAACATTTAAAATCTTTGTCAAAATTTCAATTTCCACTGGAAAACTAAATTAACCCACTACTGGTAGATTAGCCCAGTTTAAGTGACTGATAATTAAGGACCACATTTCTCAGCTCTCTTTTTTATTTTTTGAATAAACGCAAGGTACAATCAATATTTGGGAGATTTATATTGAAAGCAAAAACCAGTACCACAAATATGTAAAATAACAATTACTTTTTCCATTTATTGTTTAAAGTAAGACTTTGTTAACTTTTTGGAAGATTATCTCATGTAACTGTCCTGAAAACTATTTAATGAAAGGAGTAAAGAAAAACATTGTAACAGTTCAGCCCCAATAGCTGAGGAATCAACCAAAGCAATCTGTTAAGAGAACTTTCCCAGGAAAAAAAAAAAACAAACTTTTTTTTCTTGACTGAAGAACTTCACTTGCAAAGTAAATGACTTAAGAAAATAAACATGAAGGCATTAACAAAGTTGTACACTCTATTTCATTCAATTCATACCAGATTTTAGTCTTCGAATTTTCTGTTATCTTTCCATCATTGCAAGATACTAAACCTATGAGACCTGAAAGGATGGGAAAAGCATATCAGAGACACACAGACTGCAGCATCACATTGTGGCTCCATATTGCATCTCAAGATTTTAGAGTTTTGGCCACTACCTACCAGACCAAATGCAGATTGAGGATACCTCCCTAGAAATCTGTTTTAGAGGAAAAAACAAGGCTAATTCACCAATAATTTAAATAACTTAACAGCTTCACTGCAAGATCTAAGGAAGGACCTCCAGCTTCCACTTTACTAGTTTTGTTTAAAAGGCTTCAAATCTGTTTCTAAAGACACTGTCTTCCTCTTAACCAAATTACTAATAGATCTGGATTTAAGTCAGACACGTCTAAAAACATATGTCCCTAGAAGGTATCTGGCTAATTATGGATATTTATGTCTGTGCACGTGAGCACACATTAGACTTAGAGGCTAAGTCTTGAAGGGTGAGGGGAGGAGGAAGGAAGTGAAGGAAAGGAGAAGTTACCAAACTTTTAACACTGAACTCCACAGTAAAACTTTCAATTACCTGGAGCTAGTCCAAGAATATTTTAAGCAAGCAGGCATGTGCTGAGTGACTATGGCTGTTTTGAAACCTTCAAGTGGGATGCTTACCTTCTGCAAGGCCATTCATACACATATATCCAAAATATGTTTTTTGGAAGCCCCACTCTACCTAGCTCTGGAAATAGCAGACAAGTGATAAATGTTTGTTAAATACAGGAATCCAGCAACAGCTACAATGGAGACAATCTAATGATCTTAAGCAAAGATTGTTGAAACTAAAAATTTTATTATTTGAAAAAAAAAGTTAAAAGGAAAGAAAAGAAAGAATAAATTTCTGATTTCTGTATGTTAGCTTATAATTCCTTCCACCTAGAAGATACTTCTCTACTTGTACAAGTCTGAAATAAAAGATGAGCCCAAATGTCATTTCCTCCATGGCATGTTCTTCCATCCCCAGAGTGAGAATCTCTTACCTAGACCTGCTTATGTCATGTTAACTCATTTACAAAGTATCAAGTCTTACATCAAAGTTATACATGTCACATTTATGTATTGATAAACTTGCTATTAGTTGCGGGAAAATACATATACATTATAATTCCTTGGTGACAAGGACATTTTTCTAACATAACACCCTGAATATAGAAGGCAGGAGGAACTGTTTTGTGAATGAGCACAACTGCAGGTGGTAGGGTCTGGAATGGTTAACACAGGAAAATTTTACCTAGGAAAGTGGCTTCATTTATTTATTCCAACCAATACTGAGCAACTGGGCCAGGGCAGCATGCACTGAATGCCATGCATGTCTGGGTACTTCAAATTAAAAAATAAAAAACAAACTGGAGGTTGGCAAAGAATGAATCGAAGGTAGGTTTTGGCTCTAAATTCTGTAAGGCTATACCTTATATTTAGGGGAACCACTAATGTTTTTCATGAAAAATATAAATGATTTCCCCTAGTGACAGAAGGTTAAAAGAGGTTGGATCAACCCAGGAATTAGCAGAACATATAGGAGTGTGTGACACGCCAACATGACTACAAACACACCTCTTCTACACTGGAGAATTAGAAGTGAAATATCATGCGGACTGCAACTTGAAATAGTTCTAAGATGTGTTATGACATTCATTATACTAGTCTACTTTTCTGTAAGTTTGAAAACTTTCAAATAAAGAGTTAAAAATAATATATATATCTAATAACACATATAAGGCTATCTGACTCAGTATATTCTGACCACTGGAGGCTGCAAAAAAAAATAAAAAGGAGAACTCTTAAAAATACATACTTCTGTGTTGAGACTGATGGAAGGAATAAGTTTTGCTTCTTTCTGGAGAGTAACTCCTACTGCTGACACTGGAGCCAGATCTGCTGTGTGGAGAATCCTTTCGGCCTACAGGCGATTCTCTGAAAAAAGGAGTGTCTCTTTTATGAGGAGACCGGTCTCTCACATAATGGGAGGAGTAGAAACCTTTTCTTCTAAAGCTGTCTCTCATGTCCCTTTGAAGTAAAAATAAATAAGTTAATTATATCTTGTACTCTCTATACATAAGAACAAATAGCAAAAGCTCTGGTTACAAGCCACTCCTGTTGTAATTTTTGTTCCCTTCTATAACCACCTACCTTCTGAAATCAGTCAATAAAATGAAGCTTTATCAGTGACATATGATTTAGAATGCAGCATTTTTTTAGTTTGGTTAACCAGGTGGTTATGTGCAAAAGCTACTTATTTTAAGCAAGCACAAAAATTTATACATGTGAAAAACATAGTCATATAGTTTCTACTTCTGTTTGAAACTAACAACACACCACACAGCTACTACTCTCTCAAAGACCCCTAAAAAATGCCAAAGATCTCCCCAGTGAGATAGTTCTTGGCCTATTATCCTCATCCAAGCATAGCATTCAACACTTTTCAGCTGGTGCGATTTCCCACTACCCTGCCCCATGGTAATCTGGCAGCGTTTACAGACACTTTTGTTGTTACAATCGCGAAGAAGGGAATGCAACTGGTAGCAGGATGCTACCAAAATGCTACTATGCCCAGAACAGCTCCCACACACACAGAGTAAAAAACGATGCAATCCAAAGTGTTAACAACGTCAAGGCTGAGAAACCATGGTATATACTTATTAAATCCTTGCTCTCTGAATTTATAACAGATTGTTGCCCATCTCTAAATACCAACTTTTTAGTATCACCTTTACTTATACAAATTAAATTGCCTTATTAAGCAATATCATCAACTCAAAGCAGAAAGCAAGCTCAAGTAATAAAGACTTATAAAGCAAAACTATCATTAAAACATCAAAGCAAACTAAAATTAATAAAACTATTGAGACACAAGTTTCTATTTAAAAGAACACTTAGAGTCAAACAGGTTTTAACTGAAGATTTAGCAAATATACCTCCATACTGAAATTAAAGAACATTACACTCTAGACAGAAGAATGACAAAAAGATGAGCCAACTGCCATGAAATTTCAAATGCTCAAAAAATAATTTCAGCATACTGACTGGTAGTCCTTAACAGGTAACCAGATTGTTGTCATTAACTATTAATACTCAAACTATATTGTCTTTACAGATACAATGAAGCTCCTCTGTGCAGAAGTAGAAAACAGTTAAAACTCATTATGATAAATGAACTCAGACAAAATACTAATACTGAAATAAGCCACTAAAACTATAGGAGTCATAGCAAAATCACTGAAAGCTGAAGTAAGTAGCTATAATGTATTATACAGATTTGAGGAACTACCAGGTGCTAGGGACCCAAAGGTCAACCACATACATATATGTGGTGTGTGAGACGGTGGATGCCAAGATGATGTCAAATTCTGGCACAGAGGATCACTGAAATGAGAAAGCAGACCTGAGAAATAGGTAAGAGTGGGACAGCCACATTTAGATTCAATCATGCTATCTTTCAGATGCTCATGTAACCGTCTGGTAAGCAACTACAGATAACTGGTGACAAGACCAGAACAGGTTTCTAGTTATAATTATAAATTTGTCTGTAAACAGGCAGTATTTAAAACCTTCAGTATAGATGAAATCAAAGGATAAAAAGCAGAAGGCCTAGAATCTAGGGCTAGAAAACTTCCACACTGAGAAGGAAATGGGCTGTCTGAGAAGAATGAGAGAGAAGCCACAAGAACACAAGGGACAGGAGAGTAAGTGATTAGGGAAGGAAATGAAAGAGCGCTCCAAGAAGGAGAAGAAAGATTTCCTACACTGCAAGTCAATGAGCTCTTCCTGATAACTTACTCAGGAAATGGAGAAGAACAAGGCCACATTCAGAGAAAAGACAGCCTGTTTTCTCTGAAGGGAAAGATGAAATGCTGAATTACAGTTTCCTAATCCTGACACCAGATGGCAGTAAAATCACAACAGCACAATTCAGAGCCATCAGTGGCTTGGGGTGGCTAAAGATACACATGGCCGAAGTACATGTCAGATTTTAAAATCACAAAGCAGAATAACATCTCTCCTCTCCCTCACACCAACCTCTCCTACTGACCATCAGATTAAACAAAAACATCACAGTAGGCATCATCTACCATACGTATACAGTACTACTTTATCCAAGTCATTTATTCACATGCATATTTATAAATATTTTTTCATATCTATATATCTATGTCCCAATTTATAAAAGGCACTATAGAGAATTATTCTGGCTCTGAAGAAGCTTAGCATCTAACTGCAGGGATGGGGAGGAAATGTTCCAGAAGGTTGTACCATCATTCAGAAGAAAAGTATATATTAATAGATGAAAAACTGACCAAGAAATCTTTAAGAAAAGTTAGAATTTAGATCAACACTGTCTAAGAGAAACATAATCAAGCCACAGATGATGTAGTCAGAGTTCAAAAGTAAAGAGAAACAAGTGAATTTTAGCAATATTTTACTTAACCCAATATACTCAAAATACTATCAACATGTAATCAATATTTTAAAATTTAGTGAGATATTTTATATTCTTTTTCATCTTACATCTTGAAAATCAAGTGTGTATTTTCTATTTACACAATATCTCAGTCTGAACTGGCCACATCTCAAGAGCTCAATAGGCACATTTAGCTAGTGGCTCCAATACAAAACAGCACAAATTTATATGTTTGGGAAAAGCAGTCCAAGTTTCAAGAAAAAGCAGAGAAGGATTAAAGGATATGCAAACAAGAACAGTGAAAAGTTTAAAAGGCTATAACTGAAAAGCAAAGGAAGAAACTTTTAAGACGAGAAAAGACAGTTAATATCAAGTACTGCAGAAACTGGAAGAGACCTTTGTATTTAAAACCTAAGAGTCACATGACCAGTGTGAGTGGGCTGACCAGTGAACTCTGGAAACCAGTGAACTGTGGGCTGACCAGTGAACTGTGGAAACCAATCAGACTATAAGAAACTACATCTATTAAAGGGATTAAACTATCACTTTTCTTCAAAAAAAAAAAAAAAAAGTTTGGCAGCGGGAAGAAGGAAGAGAATTGGGACAATGCTCTGAGAAAAGAGGCTTATCTGGATATATTTTGAAAGTGAAAGTTGTTCGGTCATGTTCGACTCTTTGCGACCCCATGGACTATACAGTCCAGTATAGACTATACAGTCTATACTATGCAGTCCATGGAATTCTCCAGGCCAGAAATACTGGAGCGGGTAGCCTTTCCCTTCTCCAGGGGATCTTCCCAACCCAGGGATCGAACAGGGGTCTCCCGCACTGTAGGTGGATTCTTTCCCAGCTGAGCCACAAGGGAAGCCAGAGAATACTGGAGGGGGGCAGCCTATCCCTTCTCCAGCGGATCTTCCTGACCCAGGAATTGAACCAGGGTCTCCTGCATTGCAGGTGGATTCTTTACCCAATGAGCTATGAAGGAATCCTGGATATATTTGGAAGCTGAGGGGAAACCGCTGATTTCTTATAGAAGGAGAAACTGATAATCCAAGACCATTTTAGGCAACTGACAAAAAAGGAGCCAAAAATCACCAGGAGAAAATGGGACAAGGGAACTAAGTAGAAGAGAATAGCATAGAAGGAAAGAGGAGAGAACATGAAAGGACACAGAGGAAAATTCTCATTTCAAGAGAAAGAATGAGAAATCTCTCTTCAGAAGTTCTTTACCTCAGTAACATATTTCTGTTGTTTATGCCATAAAAGTGAAAGTCACTCAGTAGTGTTCGACTCTGCGACGCCATGGACTACACAATCCTTGGAATTCTCCAGGCCAGAATACTGGAGTGGGTAGCCTTTCCCTTCTGCAGGGGATCTTCCCAACGCAGGGATCAAACTCACGTCTCCCACACCGCAGGTGGATTCTTTACCAGCTTAGCCAGTAGGGACAGCCCGAGAATACTTGAGTGGGTAGCCTATCCCTTCCCCAGCGGATCTTCCTGACTCAAGAATCGAACTGGGGTTTCCTGCACTGCAGGTGGATTCTTTACCAACTGAGCTATCAGAGAAGCCCTAACATATTTCTAGAAGTCATCAATACAAAGTAAAGAAAGTAAGGCCATGAACAGATGTTTATGGCAGAGTGGAAATTATTTGTCCTTTGGGGAAAAGTTAATTTGAGCAGTGTTCCTCAAAGTGCAGGTCCACAGACCTGCATTGCAATCTTGAGAAGGTGACAAGTGCAAATTTAGGGCATCAAACCACCTACTGAGTCAGAATCTCTGGAAGTGAGACCAAGCATTTAGGGCTTTAACAAGGCCCTGCAGATAATTCTGAGGCACACAAAACTTTGAGAAGGACTGAACTAGACAAGCTCACTGACATATCAGAGTTGTTTACATACAACTATGGTATCTCTAAGTCAAGGAAGCATTACTACAAACAAACCTAGTGGTGTGATGGAATTCCAACTGAGCTATTTCAAATCCTAAATGATGACACTGTTAAAGTGCTGCACTCAATGTCAGCAAACCTGGAAAACTCAGCAGTGGCTACAGGACTGGAAAAGGTCCGTTTTCATTCCAATCCCAAGGAAGGGCAATGCCAAAGAATGCTCAATCTACTGTACAACTGCATCCATTTCACATGCTAGCAAGGTCACGCTCAAAATCCTTCAAGCTAGACTTTGGCAGTATGTGAACCGAGAACTGCCAGATGTACAAACTGGGTTAAGAAAAGGCAGAGTAACCAGAGATCAAACTGCCACCACCCACTGGATCATGGAGAACGCAAAGGAATTCCAGAAAAACATCTATATCTACCTCTGCTTCACTCACTATTCTAATGCCTATGACCTTTTGGATCACAAAATGGTGGGAAATTCTTGGGAAGAGATGGGAGCACCAGACCACCTTACCGGTCTCCTGAGAAACCTGTATGCAGCTCAAGAAGTAACAGTTAGACTGGGACATGGAAAAGAGGACAGCTTCAAAATTAGGCAAGGAGTACAACAAGGCTGTATATTGTCATCCTGACTATTTACCTTCTATGCAGAGTACATCATGTGAAATGCCAGGCTGGATGAATCATTAGCTGGGATCAAGACTGCTGGTCTCGAGAAATATCAACAACCTCAGATATGCAGATGATACCACTCTAATGGCAGAAAGTGAAGAGGAACTCAAGAGCCTCTTGACAAGGGTGAAAAGGATAGTGAAAAAGCTGGCCTGAAACTCAACATTAAAAGAAAGAAGATCATGGCATCCGATCCCATTACTTCATGGCTAATAGATGCGGGAAAAACTGGAAGCAGTGACAGAATTTATTTTCCTGGGCTCCAAAATCACGGGGGATGGTGACTGCAACCATGAATTAAAGGACATCAGCTCCTTGGAAGGAAAGTTATGACAAACCTACACAGCATATTAAAAAGCAGAGACATCAGTTTGCCAACCAGGGTCCATATAGTCAAATCTATGATTTTTCCAGTCGTCATGTATATGGGTATGAGAGTTGAATCATAAAGAAGGCTGAGCACTGAAGAACTGATGTTTTCAAATTGTGGTGCTGGAGAAGACTCTTGAGAGTCTCCTGGACTACAAGGAGATCCAACCAGTCAATCCTAAAGGGAATCAACCCTGAATATTCACTGGAAGGACTGTTGCTGAAAGTGAAGTTCTAACACTTTGTTGGGCCACCTGATGCAAAGAGCCGACTCATTGGAAAAGACCCTGATGCTCGGAAAGATTGAAGGCAGAAGGGGGCGGCAGATGAGATGGTTAGACAGCATCACCTAGTTAATGAATATGAATTTGAGCAAACTCTGGGAGACAACAAAGGACAGGGGAGCCGGGCATGCTGCAGTCCATGGGGCCGCAAAGAGTCGGACACAACTTAGTGACTGAACAAGTCAAAAACAGTAACTCAGAGCTCATGACAGAGGCAGAACATGTTTCAGTGATGACGATTCTAGGGTTTTGACCATGCCAATGGACAGCTAAACAGAAGAGCTGAAAAACACAAGACTGATGTTAGTTAAAAGTATCACCAAGCTGAGTGCCGGGGTGCGGCTGGGCTCTCGGAGCAGTGGCCCAGCCGGGATGGCGATCCCGTTCGCTCCGCGCCGGGGAGCCGGGGCTGCCAACCGGCGCTGGTTCGTGCTGCTGCCGCCCCTGCTGCTCGCGCTGCTGCTCGCGCGGCCCGCGGCGGCCCTGGTGGAGGGACTCTACTGCGGCAAGCGGGACTGCTACGAGGTGCTGGGCGTGAGCCGCACGGCCAGCAAGGCGGAGATCGCGCGGGCCTACCGCCAGCTGGCCCGGCGCTACCACCCCGACCGCTACCGGCCCGAGCCTGGCGAGGAGGGCCCGGGACGGACGCCGCAGAGCGCCGAGGAGGCCTTCCTGCTGGTGGCCACCGCCTACGAGACTCTCAAGATCTAGATATTGGTGGTTATGTTCCAGTCCTCCTGCTTTTGCCCAAGAGGACTGGGAGTGGAGTGAACACCAGCAGAAGCACCATTTTTTCCTGTAGAGATTAGAGACAAGGAGCTTATTGCCCTGCTTGTCAAGGCTCAGGACAGAGAGGAAGAAACAAGTATAAAGGTTTTGGCTTTGGAAAGAAGTTGGAATCTCCTGACCCTGGGACCTTAAGATCTACAAAATTGCTGAAAGAAAAAGTACTACCTTATTGAAAGGATGAAGAGACTCGGAAGGATTATGACTACATGCTGGACCACCCAGAAGAGTACTATAGCCACTACTACCACTACTATAGCAGGCGCCTGGCCCCCCAGGTGGACGTGCGCGCTGTGATCCTGGTCAGCGTGTGCGCCGTCTCAGCGTTTCAGTTTTTCAGCTGGTGAATAGCTATGACAAGACGATCAGCTACCTGGCCACAGTGCCCAAGTACCGTATCCAAGCCATGGAGATTGCCAAGCAGCAGGGATTGCTGAGAAAAGCCAAAGAGAAGGGCAGAAACAGAAAGTCCAAAGAGGAAGTTCGTGATGAGGAGGAGAACATCATAAAGAACATTATAAAAAGTAAAATAGACATAAAGGGGGGCTATCAGAAGCCCCAGATACGTGACCTTCTCCTGTTTCAGATTCTCTTAGCTCCTTTTCACTTGTGCTCGTATATAGTGTGGTATTGCCGATGGATCTATAATTTTAACATCAAAGGCAAAGAATACGGGGCAGAAGAAAGACTATATATCATACGTAAATCTATGAAGATGTCAAAGTCTCAGTTTGATAGTCTAGAAGATCATCAGAAAGAAACTTTTCTTAAACGTGAGTTTTGGATAAAGGAGAATTATGAGGTCTACAAACAAGAGCAAGAAGAGGAACTAAAGAAAAGACTGGCAAATGACCCTAGATGGAAAAGATATAGGAGATGGATGAAGAAGGGGCCTGGACGGTTGACGTTTGTGGATGACTGAAGACCACTGGAATGCTGCTATGCCAAACCTTAACTGTGATACTATTTTCATAACTGAATTATTTTAGCAATGTATCGACTGCACCTCAGCAGTAACTAAAATTCCTCAAGAATTAGATTAAACAGAATAATGTAGACATTTAAACTTTCCCTTCAAACTTTATACATAAGACATTTATGATTGTTCAATTTTTATAATCAATTTGTGGATTTTGTTAAAAGACTTGACAGGAAGATTTATTAGTTGCCATTTAAAAGTTTTATATCTTTAGTTAAAAATTTGACATGAAAATTTATTAGATACCATTTAAAAAAAAAAAAAAGTATCACCAAATCAAAACAGAGAGGGATGGAGGAGAAGACTGTGTGCCAGAAACTATAATAATCCAGAAACAAGGAATTTGTTGGTGTTTAGTCACTAAGCTGTGTCCAACTGTTTTGCGACCCCATGGACTGTAGCCCACCAGGCCCCTCCCTCTGTCCACGGGATTTCCCAGACAAGAATACTGGAGTGGGTTGCCATTTCCTTCTCCAGGGGATTGTCCCAGCCTAAGGATTGAACCCATGTCTCCTGCACTGGCAGGCAGATTCTTTACCACTGAGCCACCAGGGAAGCCATGGGTCCTGAAAATTCATCAGAGAGTATAGAGACGAGGACAGGGTGCTACAAATGGAGAAGTTCACAGATGACATTGGAACTGTGGCTTGAAGGAGGTAATAAGAAGCAAGAAGTATGCCCAGAACTCATCTCAAGAATCAATGAATTAGGAGGGAAGTGGTTTCAACTTGTGAAAGTTAGGTTCCTATTGCAGAAAACAGATGGAAAGAACAGTAGAAAATGTATCAGTTATCTCATTTTTAACCTTCCCTCAAACACATGGACTATCAAGTTATAAAATATTTTACCAAACTTTGAGACAACAATGGGGAAGAGAGTGACTGATTCCCTTTCTTTTAACATATGCCATGACAAATTCAGATTGATTAAAAAGCTAAATGTTTGGAAGGAAGGGATAGGAAAAAAAAGACCTCTCTGTCTGTACCTGTCAGTCTGTCTGTCTGTCTGTCTCTCTCTCTCTCTCTCTCTCTCTCTCTATATATATATATATATAAAATAAATAATTATAAGTCTATAAGAAGAAATTACTGTGTATCAAAATAGTAAGCTTATATGACACCCAAAAAAAGTGCCTAGAGTTGAAATTTCATTAAAGTGACTTTCCAATTAAGTGTGACTTTCCAATTAACATCAGATGGCAGTATCTTAAATATTAGTCTTTAATAATTAATTGAATGCTGACAAACCATTGAAGAAGAAGTTTTCTGAAAACACCAATAAGAAGTAGACAAAGGATATGAAGCTAAATCAATGGAAGACAAATAAATATGTCATCTAAGTAAATATTTAATGTAACTCAAGTTGTTTTAATTTTTTCTATCAAATATGTAAATGATCCTGACCAGCTGTGAAAATTAGGGTATTCTGTCTGTCTGTCTCTCTCTCTCTCTCTCTCTCTCTCTCTATATATATATATATATAAAATAAATAATTATAAGTCTATAAGAAGAAATTACTGTGTATCAAAATAGTAAGCTTATATGACACCCAAAAAAAGTGCCTAGAGTTGAAATTTCATTAGATTTAAAGTGACTTTCCAATTAAGTATGACTTTCCAATTAACATCAGATGGCAGTATCTTAAATATTAGTCTTTAATAATTAATTGAATGCTGACAAACCATTGAAGAAGTTTTCTGAAAACACCAATAAGAAGTAGACGAAGGATATGAAGCTAAATCAATGGAAGACAAATAAATATGTCATCTAAGTAAATATTTAATGTAACTCAAGTTGTTTTAATTTTTTCTATCAAATATGTAAATGATCCTGACCAGCTGTGAAAATTAGGGTAGTGCATATAAACCTCATCATGAATAAAATACAACTTGGGTTGGGCTGGAAATTACTTGGGACTTAATGGTCCTAAAAGAAAAATACTAATCCAGCCCACAAAATAGGGTTAGACTTCACGGTCCACACAGAGAGCAAATACTAGATAGAGCTGAAACAGCAAACTTTTCTGTCAGAATGCTTTTCTCATCTTTAACAATAAATTTCCTTTCTTTTCCTCTATTTATATGTCTATAAAAATCTCTTTGTCTAGGCTCAACCCAATGTAACCAAATGCTGCACAATTTCTTCTTTTTCTTGTCATAACACCTGGTTAATTTAGTTTGCACTTGGTTTCAAATGTCAGCCCAAAGAGTTTCTATCTGAGAGAAGAAAGTCATGACTATCAAAACAATCCAGTTATCCATAAATAATATGGATGTCTTAATGTGTATCACTAGTGCACGTGACATTAGTTTTATGAAACAACTGAGTCCTAATTTTCTTAAGTTTTTGTCACCCACTATAATTTATGACAAATTTATGAGGTTAAAAATGGATATACAAAGGCTTTGTTTGTTTAATTTGATAATATGGCAAGGACAAATTCAGCAACCTTGTATATTTTACCTTATACTGAAACAAAACCCTTTCACAGATTTATTTCTATTTCTTAGATGTGAGAATGTAATGAGTCTTTAAAGCAAGTAAGTCAACAGAAAATCAACAATGCTTTCATCTATAAACCTATTCCTAATAAAATCAAGGTATTTTTCCTTTACAAATGATTTCTATAATGTGACTGTAGTATTTTCATAATATTGAAGTTTTAAATTTTGATTTTTAATCAGAAATTAGTTAAGCTTTTTTTTTCTTTCATTTCATTGATACTTCCTATTCATCATGTAGGAGAGCAAAGTATTTCCCAATTATTTAGTAAATCACTTTAACTACTATTAACAACTTACATAATTAAATATTTTCCAATGTCAATATTCTCTTAAGTTCCCTAGTTTCGATTTCTAAAACTGATCTTCCACTCCTTAATGCCACCTCCCTCCAACATCAACCTTTCCAATCCAAAAATAAACCTTTGGCTAATCTTTTCCAGAGTAATTAAGTGGCTGTAATTATACTTTAGAGAGGAAAAGCAACCTATAGAAATAGTTTCCTAATGCTTAGCTTAATGTACTCACGTGACTAGTAACAGCTATCATTATTGCTCCGAGAATCCGATTCTGTAAATGCAGAAAAACCTATTTATACAGGTTATGAATATGAAAAATACTCAAATATATGCAAGAATAAAAAGGATTTTATTGGTGAGGCTACTTAGTATACACTAATGGTTCTCAAGTGGTGGTGCTTTTGCTCCCACTAGGACAGGTGGCGACACCTGAAGACACGATATTTCTTACTCACGAGTGGGGACAGTACTAGCATCTACTGGGTGGAGCTCAGGACAAACCCCCTACAATGAAAAACTGCCCAGGATCAAACGCCAATAGCGTCAAAGTTCAGCAAGTCTGAGACAGACAGACACATGTACAAATACACTCCCTCATAAATTTATCAGTCTAAGAAACAAGAAAAAATATTCAAGAGCTTTCTTGGAACCAATTAACAATTCTAAAATGTTGCTTTATAATACACATAACATCAAGCACTAAAGTTTCTTCAATTCTCCTAAACATTCAAATTATGTTACATTTTCAAGTAAAATATTTTCTACTCTATTTTCAATCTTTTAATTTATATACAGTCCCATAGTTAAGAGCACAGGCTCTGGAACAAGCCTGTCAGGATTCAATCCTGGTTCCATTCTATGGTTACCATGGGAGCGGTTTGCAGTTACTTAACCTCTCTGCGCCTGTTTCCTCTTCTATAAAACAGAAGTGATGGGACTAAGAGGAATAATGCCTACCAGCATACATAACATGTGTCATGTATACTAACTCACTAACTCAAATTAAAGAAAAGGCAAACACTGGCCACAGCGAGCACTGACAATGGTGTGAAACGACTGGACCTCACACGCAGGAACATAAATGGGTGCAAAGCTGCGAGCCCTCAGTCCACAATCACATGACTGACAAACGCACATCTTCATCAGTGACCAATCACACCGCATTTTTCAAAGGCTTTTGGGTTAGTCACCGTGTGTGTTATTCAGTTCACAGGCAAACAACAAAGATGTATTTGGTTGCCTTCTTGTGCCAAAAAAACAGAAGAAGTGTAATGGTAGGAGTGGAATTCAAATTGAATATAAATGGAGTTGTCGAAGAGATACGTGACCAAGGGAATGCTGACAATGTTGCTTTCAAGACATGCGCTGGTGTCTTCACAGCCACTGTATATAAAACAGGTGATTGGTGGGAACATGCTGTGTAGCACGGGGAAACCTGCTGGGTGCTCTGTGATGACCTATATAGGGAGGGAGTCTGGGAGTGAGTGGGTATGTGTATATGTATGGCCAGTTCACTTTGCTATACACCAGAAACTAACACAACGCTGTAGATTAACTATACTCCATAAAATTAAGAAGAAAAAAGTAAAATGACTGACAACACCAAGCTTTGACAAGGATGTGGAGCAACTGGAATTCTCATACACTGCTCGAAGTAATGCAAAATAGCCACTCAGCCATAATATAACAACTTCCTATAATGTTCAACACATACACACCATACAACCCAGGAATCTCACTAGGAGTTACACAAGAGAAACAAAATTCTGTGATCACTCAAAAAAAAAAAAAAAAAGATATGCAGCCTGAGGAAAATGGTAAAGGCAAATTTACTGAAGGAAAACAAGCAAAGAGACTATGACAAAAAGGATAAAGGTGTCCCAGAGGAAGTGAGGCTAATAAAAAATCCACGCAAAGGAACTCTCAAAGATATTTCCAACAATGAAAATGCAAAGGATAAAATGTTGGAAACTGACTCAAACTCAGAACGCAGTGTAACAATTCATCAAGGCATAAAAAAGATGCTTGCTTCGAGGAGACAAACACTGTTCAAACTACTCCTGATAAGTTTTTGACAAAGGTTTCTAATGTTTTTAAAAATTACAGTGTATTAAATGAGTATTAGTTTTACTTTTACAAAAAGTTTTTACAAGTTACAACAACTGTAATTATTGTCACTGACTATTAAGATTGCTTTAGGTCAGAATAACAATCACCTTTGAAGAGGAAGAAGAAAGTAACCAAACAGAAGCATGAAAAAGCTTCTGAGATGCAAGTAAAATTCTCTCTCTTAACCTGGATTCTGGTTACACTTACGGTTCACACTGAGCTATATACCTTGACTTATGTACTTTGTATATGTTATATGCTCTAGTGTCTTCTTTTTTAAAAAAGATGTTTATTGTCCTCTAAAAATATGAAATATAAAAATATGGCTCTTTGTCACTTAAAATGGTA